TGACAACTCATGGAGATTATCTGAAATTTATCCATGGAGTTTCCAAGCACAAGGAGATGGAAGAATGGACAGGCCACTGTCTGCTCTGCATCATTTCATCAGCCACTGTTGTGATGGAGTTTGGCATCATACATCCATTGGCAGCTATCAGTTTGACTGCTAAGACCACCCAAACCACTGGCTCAGTTGTTCTCATTGCATGTACATTGCATGGTACAAAATACAGCTAAGGAAGTCAGACATCCTCACAATGAGGCAACTACACCTGGAAAAATGAACAATCCAAGACTTGCATGGCCATGCATCCTGCAAGAGCCACTACGGTGAGAGACCCATTCATCAGACACATGTTGACCTTGAGCCTGGGGGTGCTCTCAGATCTCCCCCCTCCAGCTCCATGACCTTAGGATCTCCTGAACCTCAAACACCCTCAAATGGGGAGATTCTTATGTACATTAATAAGCTATTATGAATATTGATGAAATAACATTCCTGGCATAGAGGTAACCCTCATTGTGTATTAGTTTCCAATGTGCTTCAGGCAGGTCCTTTCTTGGATACCAGGGTAAAGAAAGTAAGGTCCCAGACTTTAGATAACTAGAAGACATATGAATGACTAAAAGGCATTTGAGTTAGGGGTCAAATATTTTTATCCATCAGTTGGTTGCTTAAGGCAAGTACGGTGTCTGGTCCTTAAAACTGGCCCGCAACAAGTCCCTGCCTCCTGCACACACATGCTGCCCCTCACATCAGTAGTGGGCACACATGCTGCTTCCTACTGAGTCTAAGCTGAACTTGTGACTCACTTGGACCAAAAGAATGCTGTGACATCTAGGGCTAAGCCTTAAGAATGCCTGGAAGCTTCTGCTTATATGCCTTTGGAAGCTCTGAGCTGCAATATGCCTGCTGGAGAGTAGGTGAGGCCATCAGAAAGGGCCACATGCAGCTAGAAGTAAGACCTCAGACATATGATGCAGTTGAGCAAGCCCAGGAATCCCTTGTAAGGTGCCAGCTCTGGGAGTAAACAGACATGTTGGGTCAGCCCAGCCCAGCCCACTCTGTGTGGAGCAGAGATGGCCTGTCCCTGCTTGCCTGCTGTAATTCCTGTAATTCCTGATCCATAAAGAAAGAACTACATGGTTATCGTTAACTTGACTGCAATTTGTTTCAGCAACAGCTCACTAGAAGAGCAATCAAACCTATTTTATCTCAGTCCACTGCTTTTCCATAAATGTTTAAAAATATAAGTGCATGCCATTTCACAATTAGAGGTCCTGTGCATTGGTTTGATCATCACCTGATTATGACACTTCTCAGCAGAGGAACAGGAACCGGAAAAAGGATTTCAGTTACAAAGGGACTTGGAGAGACAGAACTGGTTTGTCCTTTTTATCTCCTGTACCAGATGCTACCCAGTGTTCCCATCCCTGCACATCAAGGCTTTTTCTCCCCTACTCCACTCCCTCACTGATTTGGAGGGCTTGCAATATTCTTACCAAGCCACTGTTATTTTCAGGCTATGATTAATAATGCCACTAGTTGTTATTCCTTCCCAAAACATAGTGCCTCCTTTAACTCCCAGACACAGTAAAGCTGGACGCTTATCCACTGACCCTCGTTCTGTCTGTAGAAGCCACTGCTGTGCAGGGGAAACACCAGACTACCTGCCACCAAGTAGGACCACATTTAAAACTGGGAATCCTTCAAAGTCATTTCAATTATCTGGGCCTCCACTTTCCCACTGGTTAAAATGGAGACCATAATACTCCTGACGAAATTCCTATAAGGACAAATAAACAGGGCCAAAATAAACCAGGTCTCCCTCAACTCTTCCAGTTCTTTTTTTTTTTTTTTAGTATCGTTAATGTACAATTACTTGAACAACAATATGGTTACTAGATTTCCCCCATTATCAAGTCCCCACCACATACACCCCACCCACTACAGTCACTGTCCATCAGAGCAGTAAGATGCTATAGAATCATTACTTGTCTACTCTGTATATACTGCCTTTCCCATGTCCCCCCCTGCTACATTATGTGTGCTAACTGTAACACCCCCCTTTCCCCCTTATCCCTCCCTTCTCACCCATCATCCCCAATCCCTTTCCCTTTGGTAACTGTTAGTCCATTCTTGGGTTCTGTGATTCTGCTGCTGTTTTGTTCGTTCAGTTTTTTCTTTGTTCTTATACTCCACAGATGAGTGAAATCATTTGATACTTGACTTTCTCCGCCTGGCTTATTTCACTAAGCATAATACCCTCTAGCTCCATCCATGTTGATGCAAATGGTACAATTTGTTTTCTTCTTATGGCTGAATAATATTCCATTGTGTATATGGACCATATCTTCCCTATCCATTCATCTATTGATGGACACTTAGGTTGCTTCCATTGCTTAGCTATTGTAAATAATGCTGCGATAAACATAGGGATGCATATGTCTTTTTCAAACTGGGCTCCTGCATTCTTAGGGTAAATTCCTAGGAGTGGAATTCCTGGGTCAAATGGTATTTCTATTTTGAGTTTTTTGAGAAACCTCCATACTGCTTTCCACAATGGTTGAACTGGTTTACATTCCCACCAGCAGTGTAGGAGGGTTCCCCTTTTTCCACATCCTCACCAACATTTGTTGTTGTTTGTCTTTTGGATGTTGGCCATCCTAACTGGTGTGAGGTGAAATCTCATTGTGGTTTTAATTTGCATTTCTCTGATGATTAGTGATGTGGAGCATCTTTTCATGTGCCTGTTAGCCATCTGAATTTCTTCTTTGGAGAAGTGTCTGTTCAGCAACTCTGCCCATTTTTTAAATGAATTATTTGCTTTTTGTTTGTTGAGGTGTGTGAACTCTACATAATTTGGATGTCAACCCCTTATCGGATATGTAATTTATGAATATATTCTCCCATACTGTAGGATACCTTTTTGTTCTACTGATGGTGTCCTTTGCTGTACAGAAGCTTTTCAGCTTGATATAGTCCCACTTGTTCATTTTTGCTTTTGTTTCCCTTGCCCAGGGAGATATGTTCATGAAGAAGTTGCTCATGTTTATGTCCAAGAGATTTTTGCCTATGTTTTTTTCTAAGAATTTTATGGTTTCATGACTTATATTCAGGTCTTTGATCCATTTTGAGTTTACTTTTGTGTATGGGGTTAGACAATGATCCAGTTTCATTCTCTTACATGTAGCTGTCCAGTTTTGCCAACACCAACTCTTGAAGAGGTTGTCATTTCCCCATTGTATATCCATGGCTCCTTTATCATGTATTAATTGACCATATATGATTGGGTTAATATCTGGACTCCCTTTTCTGTTCCACTGGTCTATGGGTCCGTTCTTGTGCCAGTACCAAATTGTCTTGATTACTGTGGCTTTGTAGTATAGCTTGAAGTCAGGGAGTGTAATTCCCCCTGCTTTATTCTTCCTTCTCAGGATTGCTTTGGCTATTCGGGGTCTTTTGACGTTCCATGTGAGTTTTAGAACTATTTGCTCTATTTCTTTAAAGAATGTTGAGGGTATTTTGATAGGGATTGCACTGAATCTGTAGATTGCTTTAGGCAGGAGCAACTCTTCCAGTTCTTTATAAGAACTTCTTTTTTCCATTTTTTATTGAAATATAATTGATAATACCACATTGGTTCCAGGTGTACAGCATAGTGATATGACTATCATATACATTACTAAATGCTCACCATGATAAATGTAGTTGCTGTCTGCCAGTATATAAAGATACTGTAATATTTTTTGGCTATGCTGTACTTCCATTCTTTCTCAGAACTTCTAAAGTACATATTCTCCAAATTGAGTGGACTTATATGGGATTTGCCTCATTCTGTTACTCAATGCTTTCATCCACACACGTTTCCCTCCCTGAAATGCAGCCATTAGTTCTGCCAGGACAGGAACATGATGAGTCACCTTTGACCCTCCTCTCCCCAACCCTTGTATTGGTTCATCTCAGGGTCTCATGATTCATCACTGAACAGATCTCTTGACTCTTTTCTCTTCACACTTTCCTACAGACACCACCCTAATCATACCATTTCCACATGACACCCAAACCACAGACATGGCTTTCTAACTGCTGTCCCACTCTCAGGCCATTCTTCAAGCTACAGACAGAAAGGTACTTTTTAATATAGAAACCTGATAGTGTCATCCTCCACTCACTTGGGAGAGGCTTCTTGTTGCCCTGGGGTTAAAGCTCACAACTTGCCAGGACTGCATCCTTCCCCTGCCTGCGCTTCCAACACATTCCCTGCTCTCCTGCTCTGCTCCCATTCCAGCTACCTGCCTCAGCCTCCTTCCCACCTGGGCCATTGTTGTTAATCTTTCTGAGCTCTGCTTAAATGCTACCATCTATGAGCTGGCTTCCCTGACCTCCACCTCTTCATCTAACTTAGATTCAATTAGGTCTTCCCCCACCTGCATTCCCGTTATTCTCTCTCAGCATCCTGTTTTTTCCTTAGTATCACTTGTCATAATTTGTAATTGAATATTCATTTGAAGACTTATTTATTTAGTCTGCACTGTCACCATGTCCTGGTTCCCCCCCACCAACCATAGTGCAGCACACGTTGGCCAGTGTCCATCTCATCAGCCATGTGTGTCCTGCACAGAGCTCCTAGCCAGGATCACAACCAGCACCCATGAGACGGATGAATAAATGGGAGCAAAGGATTTCTGGTCCCACCAAGGCCCAGTGCTATATTCAGCACCCAGGACTGGCCTCATGAAGATTCAATCATTTTAGTTGGTTTCTGTTTGGCTGTACATTTTAGGTCATTTCACCAACAGAAGTGATCTGTTTTAAACAGCCTTGGAAAGGTGGGTGGCAAGAGCTCAATCAAAGGTCTCAGACACACTGATACTTCCTGCAGGAGGTGGTAGTTCTGCTGATGCATGGTACCAAGTGCAAAGGGAAAAGGTGTCTCTGGCTGGAAGGAGCTTAGAAAGTCAGTCATGTGAACAAAACAAATACATATGCTCGTCAGCAAGTACCTGGGGTTGATCTTTATGGTACAGCCGAGGCAGCAGCCTCACCATGATGCACAGGACCCCCGGGTGCATGATCATGGTGTCACCTTCATCCACCCTGTAGAGAGAGGGGAAGCAGGGTATCAGACTTGGGCCTTCCAGTCTCTTCTGCTTCTGCAGAACTTTCTGGTTCTTTCAAAGACAGGCCATGATACATCCTCAGTCTATTCTTTATTATTTAAATGACTTTAAACTAATTAATTTGAGTCTAATTTTCTCAACTGTACAGTGGAACTAACAATACCTTACATTCCACATAAAGATCTAGAATAATGTTTTGTGCACTAAGGTACAGTGCTTGGCTCATAGTTGATGCTCAATGGAAGTTAGTTCCCTGATCCTCTCCCTTCTCTCCAGATATGGGGGAGATGGAGAAACTCTCATTTTATATTATACACACAGGCTTCTGGATCCCTTCAAGATAGTGTAAGGACACTCTATTCTGTCCTAACCACTAAATGCAACTAAAAACCCAGATAGAATGCATGAGCAGCGCTTTCAGGACTCTGAAAAGAAAACAGCAGCAAAGGAGGAAATCAAACCCAAAGCACCATGCACCTGGCAGTGTGTTTTCTGGGCCCCCCACTGCCACCCCCAACCTCTGCCCAGCATCCCTGATACAGTCTTAGAAGGAATCTGACACTGGAACTGTGCACCAGGTACAGACAGGAAAGACAGATCTCTGACAAAAGACCTCTATTTCAGGTCTGAGAAGTGGGAAAGGAGGTTCCTACAGGTTCCAGAGCATGGAGGAGAACCCCTGGGACTTTCTTTGTTGGGTTTCTACATTCTTCCTCACCCCAGCCTCCAGGCAACCCCACAGCAGAAGCAGGCAGGCAGGTGTCTGAAACCAGGGAAGAAAACCATTCTCTCTGACCAGAGGAGATGTGGTTCCAAGAGTGTAGACAAAATCCCCACTCTTTCATCTCTCTTTCTCCTGTCCCTGTGCAGCCCCAGAGATAGATGCAATTGTGTGGAGTACATGACATAGCAGGGAAACTTAAGCCCCAGCTTTCTAGATAGAGAAGAAGGGAGGGACTTCTGGGAGCCTGAACATGTTGGGGAAATGATAAAGAGGAGGCTGAGGAAAATGAGACTGTTAAGTTCTGTCTCAACCTCTGGGCTCAATTCTGAGCTGTATATCTGTGGGTCTGACCCAAAGTCATATTCCAAAGGCTTTGATCGCTGAACACAGGGGTAAATAAACACCTGAGACTGGCCACTGCATGAGGTAAGTAGGGGATAGATAAAAATATCCTGTAAAGTCTTTTGAAAACTGAACTGATAGTGGACACACAGTTCAAAGAAGGTGGGTAAGAACTTGTGGTCTGAACTAAAGGGGTCGACTGCCTGCTAAAACAATAATCAACATTCTCCAGAAGATGCTGATAGAGCTAGGATTCATAACATTCAAAATGTCCAGGAGACAATCTGAAGTTACTCAGCATAGAACAAATTGGGGAAATCCCAGTATCTCACATAGAAAAAGATGATTAACAGACACCATTCTGAGATGGCACAGATGTTGGAATTATCAGACAAAAACTTTAAAGCAGTTATTATTAACCAAACTGCAAGAAATAAGGGTGAATACTATTGAAATGAATGAAAAACTGGAAAGTTTCAGTGAAGAAATGGAGACAATAAAAAAGAACCAAATGGAAATTTAAGAACTGGAAAATACAACAACAAATTAAAAAATATGACTGAATGAGAAAAATAGAAGAAAAGGAAGAGAGACAAAAGAGTCCATAAATTTGAATATATATCAATAGAAACTGCCCAAACTGGAAAACATATGGAAAAGATTTTTTTTTAATGGAGGAAGCCTCAAGGTCTTGTGCAACAATATCAAAGGATCTAACTTTTCTGTTGTTGGAGTTCTAAAAGGAGAAGAGAATGAGTGTGGTATAAAAAGAAAAGATGTTCAGGAAGTTTTTAGTCATTATTTCCTCAGATTTGGTGAAATACATAGCCTTGAAGATTCAAGCAGCTTAGCAAAACCCAGACAGAATTCACAAGGAAATCCATGCCCAGGTGCATTGTAATCGAACTGTTTAACCCTAAAGACAATGAAAAATAAGTCTTGAAAGCAGCCAGAGATAAAGGCGTACAGCATATAGAGGAATAACATTTTTAAAGTGCTGAGAAGAAATGCACAGAGTCCATATCCAGCAAAAACATCCTTCAGACCTAAAGGCAAAATAAATATATTTCCAGATGAAGGAAAACAAAGAGAATTTCTTGTCACTGGATTTTCTCTAAAAATAATGCTAAAAGAAATTCTTCAGATGGGAGGGAAATAATAATAGAAAGAAACAAATAATATATCAGGAATGAATAAAGAGCAACAGAAATGGTAAATATTTGGATAAATAGACTTTTTTTCTCTTAAGTTCTTAAAATATGTGCTATGGTTGAAAGCAAAATTGTATTTGATGTAATACATGTAACAGCCACAATAAAAATAGGGGACAATAAAGGGACCTACATGAGGTAAAGTTTCTATTTTCCATTTGAAGTAGCAAAATATTAATTCTAAGTAGACGTTAAAGTTCACTATGTATACTGTGATCCTTAGAGCAAGCACTAAAAACACTAGACAAAGAAAGATGGTCAAAAATTCAAAAGATAAATCCAAATGGAATACTAAAATATATTCAAATAATCCACAGAAAGATAAGAAAAGAAACAGGAACAAAAAAGAGGGAACAAAGAAAAAAAGAAAGCATAAAATGGCAGACCTAAATCCAAACACATCAAAAATTATATTAAATAAAAGTGGCCTAGATACAGCAATTAATAGACAAATATTGTCAGAATGGGGAAAAAAAGACTACACTATATGCCCTCTATGAGAAACCCACTTTAAATATAATGATATTTGTAAAGTAGGTTAACAGTAAAAGGATAAAAAAAAAATGTATACCATGCTAACACCAATCAAAAGAAAGCTGGTGTGACCCTATTAATCCTAGAGAAAGCAGAATTCACAGGAAGTGAAATGACAAGGAAAAAACAGGTTATACTTCATAATGATTAAAGTAGGCACAACATACAAAATGTGTAGGCACTTCACAATAGCACACTAAATTTCATAAAGAAAAACTGATAGCAGTGAAAAGACAAATGGATAAATCCACAATTATAGGCAGAGACTTCAACACTCTTTTCTCAGTAATTGATAAAGTAGACAGAAAATTATCAAAGATTTAGAACTGAAAACAGCATTTACCGATATCATTGACATGTACAGAGCACTCCCCAACAACTGTAGAATGCACATTCTTTTCACATTCCTGTGAAACATTTGTCAAAATGGACTGTTATCTGGATTTCATAAAAGTAAACTTCCAAATTTAAAACATTTCAAGTAAAATCATACAAAATATGTTTGGCAATCATAATGGAATTAAATTAAAATGAATAATAGAAAGATAACTGAAAAATCTCCAAGTACTTAGGAATTAAATAGCATTTTTTAATTGTGTTAAAATGCATGTAATATTCAACTTACTATCTTAACCACTTTAAATATACAGCTTAGTGGAGTTAAGTACATTCATATTGCAAATAATATATTTCTCAATAGCCTATGGTTAAAGAGAAAGTTTCAAGAGATTTTTAAAACATCATCTTGAACATAAATAAAAAAGACATCCATCAACAAACTTTGTGAGATGCTACTAAAGCAGTGCTTAGAGGAAAACTTATAGTATTAAATGCTTATATTACAAAAGAAGAAAGTTCTACAATTAAAATTTTAAGCTTCCAGCTTAAGACAGTATTTTTAAAAGGAGAAAAATAAATACAAAGAAAGTAAGAGGAAAGCAATAATAAAGATGGAAAAAATTGATAATATTAAAAGCTGAAAAACAATAGATAAAATAAATGTAAGAATCTAGGTCTTTGAAACAGTCTACAAACTGAACTACCACTAGTTAACTAGCAAAAAAGGGAAAAGATACAAATTTTCAATATCGGGAATGAAATAGAGAATATTATTACATACCCACAGACAGTAAAAGGATAATAAGAAAATACTAGAAATAACTCTGCACATAAATTTGACAACTTAGATGAAATGGACCAACTCCTTCCAAGCCAGGAATTAGCAAAAGTCAAGAAAGAAGACATAAATAACCAGAATAGATTATAGCTATGAAAAAAACTGAATATGTAATTAAAAGCCTTCCCACAAAGAAAACTCCATACCCAGATATGTCCAGTGGTGAATTCTACCATACATTTAAAAAATAAATAACATCAATTCTGTCCAACTACTTTCAAAAAATACAAAAGAACACTTCATATTACATTATATGAGGCCAGAATTTTCCAGATACCAAAGCAGACAAAACCAGTATAAGAAAAGAAAACTACCTGCCAACATATCTTAGGGACATAGGTGCAAAAATCCCTAACAAACTATTAAGAAATCAAAGATAACTTATATTAAATAAATAAGGCACTGTGACCAGTTGGGCTTATCCCACAAATGCAAGGCTGGTTCACTGTTCAAAAATCAGTCAATGTAACCCATCATATTAAAAAACTAAAGAAAAAAAACAAATGATCATATGCAGAAAAGTGTTTGAAAAATTCAGCATCTGTTCATGATAAAAACTCTCAGTAAACTAGAAATACAAGGAATCATCCATAACCTGATAATGGGCACCTACCAAAAAAAACAAATGAAAAACCCTCCTCGCAGACATAATACTAAGGGACAAAAGACTGAAGACTTTCTCCCTAAGATTAAGGACAAGGCAAGGATGTCCATTTTTACCATTTTTATTCAACATCATGCTGGAGGAACAGATTGGAAAAAAGCTATTAATCTGTCATGATTCATAGACAATGTGATTGTGTACATAGAAAATCCCAAGCAATCTATTAAAATAAATAATTTATTATAATATAAAATAAAAAATTAAAATTAAATTAGCTCTAGATTTCCTAGAACTAATAAGTGATTTTAGCAAAGTCTCATGATGCACAGTTACATGTAAAAATTAATCATATTCTTATATACTAGATGGTAACAATTGGAAAACA